AAAAAAAAAAAAAAAAAAAAATTAGCCTGGTGTAGTGGTAGAGACCTGTAGTCCCAACTACTCAGGAGGATGAGGCAGGAGAATCTCTTTAGCCCAGGGGATCAGGGTTGTAGTGAGCCATGATTGTGCCACTGCACTCCAGCCTGGGCTATAGAGTGAGACCCTGTCTCAAAAAATAAAAGACAATGAAACAATGCCTTAACTTCTGAGGAAGAATTATTTTCGACCTGGAATTCTATATTCAGCCACACTATCAATAGTGTAAGGAAAGATTAATAACTTTTTAAAAATAATTTCAACTTTTTAAATTTCATCTTATTTGAGAGTAATCTCATTCTGTCACCCAGGCTGGAGTACAGTGGCACCATCATGGCTCACTGCAGCCTTGACCTCCCAGGCTCAAGCAATCCTCTCACCTCAGCCTCCCAAGTAGCTGGTCTACAGGCACATACCACCACACCTGACTAATTTTTAAATTTTTATAGAGACAGGGTCTCACCCTGTTACCTAGGCTGGCCTCAAACTCCTGTATTCAAGTGATCCTCCTGTCTTGGCCTCCCCAAGTGCTGGAATTACAGGCAGGAGTCACCATGCCCAGCCCAACTTTTATTTTAGATTCAGAGTGGGGTACACGTGCAGGTTTGTTACATGGGTATAACACATGATGCTTAGATTTAGGGTACGGTTGAACCCATCATCCAGGAAGTGAGTATAGTACCTAACAATTATTTTTTCAGTCCTTGCCGCCACCTCCCTCCTTCGTCTAATGGTCCCTAGTGTCTATTGTTGCTGTCTTTATGTTTATGTACCCAGTGTTTAGCTCCCATTTATAGCTGGAACGTGCAGTATTTGGTTTTCTGCTCCTGCATCAGTTCACTTATGATTATAGCCTCCAGTTGCATACATGTTGCTGCAAGGGACATGATTTCATTCTTTCTTATGGATGTGTAATAACATTTTAAAACATGCAAAGCTTCAATAAATTTACCTCTTACGCCAATTTTCTCAGGACACTACTAGAGGGAGAGAACCATTCACCCAAAGGAAGGAGTAAATTGAGAAAAAAGATATGGACTCTAAGAAACAAGGGATCCAGCTAAGGAAAGAGGCAACGGAATTTCCAAGATGATAATGAAGGGAGATCCCTGGAGAGCAATTGTGCAACAAGGACAGATAGACTTAAGAGATGCCACCCAGAAGATGGAATAGATAGGACATGTGATGAGTTCAAAAGCCTGGAGAGGGAAATTCAGACAATTGAGGGAATGTTTGAGGTTGACTTACTGATAACTACACAGCAAAGTAGGTAATACAATAATAATAATTCTAAGGATAAAAATGTGTAAGAAATAAAAAGTAACTATAGTAAACTACATGGCTTAGCTGTGAGGAACATTTCCAAATCTTAATAAAGTAAACACTGATTAATTTTATTGCCTGTTTTGAGGATAGAAGATGGGAAGGGTATCTGTATGGCTGGGGAGTGGGGAGTGGGATGAAAGTTAAATCCTGGTTGGGTGCGGTGGCTCACGCCTGTAATCCCAGCAGTTTAGGAGGCCAAAGTGGGCAGAGTTCAGGAGGTCAAGAGTTCAAGACCAGCCTGGCTAACATGGTGAACCCCTGTCTCTACTAAAAATACAAAAATTAGCCAGGCATGGTGATGGGTACCTGTGGTCCCAAGTACTCTGGAGCCTGAAGCACGATAATTGATTGAAGGCAGTGGTTGCAGTGAGCCAAGATCACACCACTACACTCTAGGCTGGGTGATACAGCGAGACTCCATCTTAAAAAAAAAAAAAAAAAAAAAAAAAAAAAAAGCCAGGTGCGGTGGCTCATGCCTGTAATCCCAGCACTTTGGGAGGCTGGGATGGGTGGATCACCTGAGGTCAAGAGTTTGAGACCAGCCTGGCCAACATGGCAAAACCCCGTCTCTACTAAAAATGCAAAAGTTCACCAGGCGTGGTGGTGGACGCCTGTAATCTCAGTTATTCAGGAGGCTGAGACAGGAGAATCACTTGAACCTGGGAGGCAGAGGTTGCAGTGAGCCTAGATTGTACCACTGCACTACAGCCTGGTGACAGAGCAAGACTCTGTCTCACACACACACATACAAAAATAAATAAATAAAAATTAGCCAGGTGTGGTAGCGCATGCCTGTAATCCCAGCTACTTAGGAGGCTGAGGCGGGAGAATTGCTTGAATCCAGGAGGCAGAGGTTGCAGTGACCTGAGATCACACCACTGCACTTTTGAGACTCTGTCTCAAAAAAAAAAAAAAAAAAGAAAAGAAAAGTAGCAATATAAGCATGTTATTTGGAGATTAGGAGGTAAATACCAAAATAAATAGCTAAATAAATAATAATACTTGTTTCTGGGATGTAGGACCAGGATGGGAGAAATGTTCATGTTCGTGATCTTGTTGAACTGTTTGCTTCTTTAATCTCTGTGCATCTGCTACTTTGATTGGAAGTAAAACTGGGCTGGGCGTGGTGGCTCACACCTATAATCCTAGCACTTTGGGAGGCGAGGGTAGAAGAATTGCTTTGAGCCTAGGAGTTTTGAGACCAACCTGGGCAACAAGGTGAGACCTTGTCTCTACAAAAAACAAAATTAGCTAGGTGTGGTGGTGCACACCTGTGGTCTCAGCTCCTTGGGTGACTGAGGTGGGAGAATTGCTTGAGACCAGGAGATGGAGGCTGTATGGGCCACGATTGTGCCACTGGACTCCAGCCTGAGTGACGGAGAGAGACCCTGTCTCAAAAAATAATAATAAAATACAAGTAAAACTAAATAAAACTAGTTTTAAGGTCATTTGTGGCAGGGCCTTGAGTTCACAGGGCAAAATGCTAGAGGTGAAGCTATAGTGATGGGCGAGAGCCACATATTACAGGCTTTTGAATGCCAGCTGCTAAAATGTTTATATTTCATTCTCTAAGAGCAGGGCAGAGTTCCCTGCTATTGTAGATGTTAAGATTCAGCACTCTGTACGAGCTGTGCAAAGCCCATAAAGGCTCTTGAGCAGGGAGAGACAGGTTCAGACTTGTGCTTAGAGAAGGTGACAGTGCATCTAAGCTGGAAGGGACCCTTGAGATTACCCTGTAAGTCAAATTGGAGGCTGGTGTGTATGGGGGAGAAGCCCTGAGTGCCCAGCCAGTGGGATTCTGACCCTTCTAAGCTCTGGCCAACCCTTTCCTCCCTCAGTGGCTGCTACCAATGTGCTGAAGGGACTAAGGAACCAGGTTAGCTCTTTATTCCCCAGCTCCTGCTCGTTTTGGCCCATTCTACTTCCTGATTAACACCCTCTCTGGCTATTCTTTGTTTCTACGTATTTCTGGTGAATCTGGCCAGGTTCAATAGCCAGTACCCTGTGGCCGGGCACAGTGGCTCATGCCTGTAATCCCAGCACTTTGGGAGGCCAAGGCGGGCAGTCAAGAGTTCAAGACCAGCCTAGCCAACATGGTGAAACCCAACTCTATTAAAAATACAGGCCGGGCGCGGTGGCTCACGCCTGTAATCCCAGCACTTTGGGAGGCCGAGGCGGGTGGATCACGAGGTCAAGAGATCGAGACCATCC